CGTAGTAACTACATTATCAGTGGTGTAGTGACTACAGTATCAGTGACGTAGTAACTACATTATCAGTGGTGTAGTAACTACATTATCAGTGGTGTAGTAACTACATTATCAGTGGTGTAGTAACCACATTATCAGTGGCGTAGCCACTACATTATCAGTGGCGTAGTGACTACATTATCAGTGGTGTAGTAACTACATTATCAGTGGTGTAGTAACTACATTATCAGTGGTGTAGTGACTACATTATCAGTGGTGTAGTGACTACATTAACAGTGGTGTAGTAACTACATTATCAGTGGTGTAGTCACTACATCATCAGTGGCGTAGCAACTACATTATCAGTGAGTGTAGTAACTACATTATCAGTGGTGTAGTAACTACATTATCAGTGGTGTAGTGACTACATTATCAGTGGTGTAGTAACTACATTATCAGTGGTGTAGTGACTACATTATCAGTGGTGTAGTCACTACATTATCAGTGGTGTAGTCACTACATCATCAGTGGCGTATCAACTACATTATCAGTGAGTGTAGTAACTACATTATCAGTGGTGTAGTCACTACATTATCAGTGGTGTAGTCACTACATCATCAGTGGCGTAGCAACTACATTATCAGTGAGTGTAGTAACTACATTATCAGTGGTGTAGTAACTACATTATCAGTGGTGTAGTGACTACATTAACAGTGGTGTAGTAACTACATTATCAGTGGAGTAGTAACTACATTATCAGTGTTGTAGTGACTACATTATCAGTGGTGTAGTAACTACATTATCAGTGGTGTAGTAACTACATTATCAGTGGTGCAGTGACTACATTATCAGTGGCGTAGTAACTACATTATCAGTGGTGTAGTAACTACATTATCAGTGGTGTAGTAACTACATTATCAGTGATGTAGTAACTACATTATCAGTGGTGTAGTAACTACATTATCAGTGGAGTAGTAACTACATTATCAGTCTTGTAGTGACTACATTATCAGTGGTGTAGTAACTACATTATCAGTGACGTAGTAACTACATTATCAGTGGTGTAGTAACTACATTATCAGTGGTGTAGTAACTACATTATCAGTGGTGTAGTAACTACATTATCAGTGGTGTAGTAACTACATTATCAGTGATGTAGTAACTACACTATCAGTGGCGTAGCAACTACATCATCAGTGGTGTAGTAACTACATTATCAGTGGTGTAGTAACTACATTATCAGTGGTGTAGTAACTACATTATCAGTGGTGTAGTAACTACATTATCAGTGGTGTAGTAGCTACATTATCAGTGGCGTAGTAACTACATTATCAGTGGTGTAGTAACTACATTATCAGTGGCGTAGTAACTTCATTATCAGTGGTGTAGTAACTACATTATCAGTGGTGTAGTAGCTACATTATCAGTGGCGTAGCAACTACATTATCAGTGGTGTAGTAACTATATTATCAGTGGTGTAGTAACTACATTATCAGTGGCGTAGTAACTACATTATCAGTGGTGTAGTAACTATATTATCAGTGGTGTAGTAACTACATCATCAGTGGCGTAGTAACTACATTATCAGTGGTGTAGTAACTACATTATCAGTGAGTGTAGTAACTACATTATCAGTGGTGTAGTAACTACATCATCAGTGGTGTAGTAACTACATTATCAGTGGTGTAGTAGCTACATTATCAGTGGCGTAGTAACTACATTATCAGTGGTGTAGTAACTACATTATCAGTGGCGTAGTAACTTCATTATCAGTGGTGTAGTAACTACATTATCAGTGGTGTAGTAGCTACATTATCAGTGGTGTAGTAACTATATTATCAGTGGTGTAGTAACTACATCATCAGTGGCGTAGTAACTACATTATCAGTGGTGTAGTAACTATATTATCAGTGGTGTAGTAACTACATCATCAGTGGCGTAGTAACTACATTATCAGTGGTGTAGTAACTACATTATCAGTGAGTGTAGTAACTACATTATCAGTGGTGTAGTAACTACATTATCAGTGGTGTAGTAACTACATTATCAGTGGCGTAGCAACTATATTATCAATGGCGTAGTGACTACATTATCAGTGGCATAGTAACTACATTATCAGTGACGTAGTAACTACAATATCAGTAGCGTAGTAACTACATTATCAGTGGTGTAGTGACTACAGTATCAGTGACGTAGTAACTACATTATCAGTGGTGTAGTAACTACATTATCAGTGGTGTAGTAACTACATTATCAGTGGTGTAGTAACCACATTATCAGTGGCGTAGCCACTACATTATCAGTGGCGTAGTGACTACATTATCAGTGGTGTAGTAACTACATTATCAGTGGTGTAGTAACTACATTATCAGTGGTGTAGTGACTACATTATCAGTGGTGTAGTGACTACATTAACAGTGGTGTAGTAACTACATTATCAGTGGTGTAGTCACTACATCATCAGTGGCGTAGCAACTACATTATCAGTGAGTGTAGTAACTACATTATCAGTGGTGTAGTAACTACATTATCAGTGGTGTAGTGACTACATTATCAGTGGTGTAGTAACTACATTATCAGTGGTGTAGTGACTACATTATCAGTGGTGTAGTCACTACATTATCAGTGGTGTAGTCACTACATCATCAGTGGCGTATCAACTACATTATCAGTGAGTGTAGTAACTACATTATCAGTGGTGTAGTCACTACATTATCAGTGGTGTAGTCACTACATCATCAGTGGCGTAGCAACTACATTATCAGTGAGTGTAGTAACTACATTATCAGTGGTGTAGTAACTACATTATCAGTGGTGTAGTGACTACATTAACAGTGGTGTAGTAACTACATTATCAGTGGAGTAGTAACTACATTATCAGTGTTGTAGTGACTACATTATCAGTGGTGTAGTAACTACATTATCAGTGGTGTAGTAACTACATTATCAGTGGTGCAGTGACTACATTATCAGTGGCGTAGTAACTACATTATCAGTGGTGTAGTAACTACATTATCAGTGGTGTAGTAACTACATTATCAGTGATGTAGTAACTACATTATCAGTGGTGTAGTAACTACATTATCAGTGGAGTAGTAACTACATTATCAGTCTTGTAGTGACTACATTATCAGTGGTGTAGTAACTACATTATCAGTGACGTAGTAACTACATTATCAGTGGTGTAGTAACTACATTATCAGTGGTGTAGTAACTACATTATCAGTGGTGTAGTAACTACATTATCAGTGGTGTAGTAACTACATTATCAGTGATGTAGTAACTACACTATCAGTGGCGTAGCAACTACATCATCAGTGGTGTAGTAACTACATTATCAGTGGTGTAGTAACTACATTATCAGTGGTGTAGTAACTACATTATCAGTGGTGTAGTAACTACATTATCAGTGGTGTAGTAGCTACATTATCAGTGGCGTAGTAACTACATTATCAGTGGTGTAGTAACTACATTATCAGTGGCGTAGTAACTTCATTATCAGTGGTGTAGTAACTACATTATCAGTGGTGTAGTAGCTACATTATCAGTGGCGTAGCAACTACATTATCAGTGGTGTAGTAACTATATTATCAGTGGTGTAGTAACTACATCATCAGTGGCGTAGTAACTACATTATCAGTGGTGTAGTAACTATATTATCAGTGGTGTAGTAACTACATCATCAGTGGCGTAGTAACTACATTATCAGTGGTGTAGTAACTACATTATCAGTGAGTGTAGTAACTACATTATCAGTGGTGTAGTAACTACATCATCAGTGGTGTAGTAACTACATTATCAGTGGTGTAGTAGCTACATTATCAGTGGCGTAGTAACTACATTATCAGTGGTGTAGTAACTACATTATCAGTGGCGTAGTAACTTCATTATCAGTGGTGTAGTAACTACATTATCAGTGGTGTAGTAGCTACATTATCAGTGGTGTAGTAACTATATTATCAGTGGTGTAGTAACTACATCATCAGTGGCGTAGTAACTACATTATCAGTGGTGTAGTAACTATATTATCAGTGGTGTAGTAACTACATCATCAGTGGCGTAGTAACTACATTATCAGTGGTGTAGTAACTACATTATCAGTGAGTGTAGTAACTACATTATCAGTGGTGTAGTAACTACATTATCAGTGGTGTAGTAACTACATTATCAGTGGCGTAGCAACTATATTATCAATGGCGTAGTGACTACATTATCAGTGGCATAGTAACTACATTATCAGTGACGTAGTAACTACATTATCAGTGGTGTAGTAACTACATCATCAGTGGCGTAGTGACTACATTATCAGTGGCGTAGTAACTACATTATCAGTGGCGTAGCAACTACATCATCAGTGGCATTGAAAACAAATCTCATGGTGGTTGTCAGGGGGGGGCCCAACTCGTAGCTTTGCCCACCGGGTGGGGTGGGGGGTGGAAGGCCCCCCCCCCCCTGCCTGCCCCACGCTCGTTACTCTACTGACTGCAGGAACCCCGTGACGCTGCGGCTAGATGGCTGACGACGCATCCTCCCGGGTGGCTTCTCGTTCGGCGATCTCACGAGACGCGCGCGCGAGAGAGCGCGTGGCCGTGAGTGAAATTTCGTCGCAATGCAGAAATCCTATTCTCGTCACCCGACGCGTGTCCGCGACTCGTCGATTCGCGTCGACGCCACATTTCGTGAAACCGAACGTCCGTGTGGAGCGACGGGGGGGGGGGGGATACCCCTTCTTGGGCAAGGCAGCAAAAGACATCACACCCAAACGGTCCCGGGGCCACGCCGCCAAGACAGCAACCGTCCAGCAGCAGCAGCAGCAGCTGCCCCGTCGACAACGATGGCCCGCGTGAACGTCGCAATCCTGCCCCTGCACAGCCGCCCACGGTGCTCAGAAACTCCCAGGGAGGCAAACACTGCAGCGCGGTCATTCGACTGAAACACCGAAGCGTCCTCAGACGCGAGTCGCCGTTGGTCGGGGGCCGGAGGGACCGGTGACGCGAGGGCAATTGCCCTTTTGGCAGACTCACGTTTGAAGTTCGGCCGTATTCGTGCATCGTAGCCCGAACTCCGACCCATGAGCTTGTCGAGGAAGTCGGACGGAGAGACGTTGTTGTTGTTGTTCACATTCTGCTCCTCCGTGTCCCGAGACGGTGACCGGCTGCCACGCGGACCGGGAGGGACGAGCACAATTGTTAATCTTGAGAACATTGCGTTCTCCTGCGAGCTTTAAACGCAGAGAGAATACAAATAAACAACGCACGCATTTAAATTTCGATTTAAAGCTTTCGTGACTGCAATGTTTCATCTTCTTTGGTTCTTTCGGTAAAGTCACGTAGTATGAGAATAAAATAATAAATTGATAAAATAAAATAACACAATAATATTCTCACGACGTTTCGGCCACAACACAGACAGTCTCGTCCCTTCACCTGATGGAGGCCGCTTGTGTTGTGGCCGAAACGTCGTGAGAATATTATTGTGTTATTTTATTTTATCAATTTATTATTTTATTCTCATTCTACGTGACTTTACCGAAAGAACCAAAGAAAACGCACGCATTTTTTCAAGAATTTTATTTTTAGCCGGGCGGTGGTGGCTACGCACCTCCGATCAGCACGGTTTGGCTACGTACGGTGCGAAAGCCTCTCCCGTGCAGTCTTTCGCAGACTGTTGAGACAAGCGCTCTTAGCGAGCACCTGTGAAGGCTGGAAACGGCACACGAGGCACGAGAGGGGTGAGTGGGTGGCCACAGCACCACGCCCAGCCGCCTTTGTCTCCCTCGTGGCGATGCTCTTACACATCGCACTAGGCACTCAATATTGCTAGTGCACGTGGCCGCCTGTATTCCAGCGCTGCTGAGGTGGCAACCGAGGGTTAGTGGATCACGGCACAGACGTTGCGAGACGTCCTGCTCACGGGGGCGTCGAGGTGGTGCCATACCCCTGGCTCGCCAGGAGGTGGCGGTTACCGCAAAGTGCCAGCTGATATAATCTGTCCCATCTGTATGGGGATAGTGTGTTGCCCCCTTGCTCTCCTTTCTCGAGGTGCTCTGGTTTCCTCCTGAAGGCCGCTTGTGTTGTGGCCGAAACGTCGTGATTTTTGTTGTTGTTGTTTTTTTTTACCTACGTGACTTTACCGAATAGAACCAAAGAGTGTGGATCCTTGCAGTCACAAAAGCTTCAAATCTAGAATTTCCTCCAACGTGTTTACACTACAACTACTATTCGACAAATTTGTATTTGTATTTAACCAGGTAAGGCCCACTTGAGCTAAACGGCTCTCTTTCAGAAAGGACCTGGCCAGAAACGATAGCCCGATCTCAGTGGTGTACATCACGTGGAAATGGATAGCAGCCAAATACTCGAAACGCACGTTTCTGAATGTGGAGAGAGGAAAAAAAAAACGTGAGGACCCGGAGAAAAATCCACGTGACCCACAGGGAGAGATACGTTGCAAACTTCGAATGTACAGGCAGTCAGGATCGAGATCGAACAACAAAACCTCGTGAATTTTGCCGAAAACACCTGAATGTATAAGCACTTGAATGTTTGCGGGGATTTGCCGACCGCTGAGTGATGCAGTTGCTAATAAAGTGTTAAAGCTTTCGTGACTGCATAAAATTACTCATTGGTTTTTTTTCGGTAAAGTCACCTATGTAGAAATACAATAAAATTAGATTAAAAAAAACAATCACGAAGTTTCGATCACAACGCAAGCGATCTTCATCAGGTGTCAAGGTACAAATCGCGGAGGTAGATACAACACAAAGATGAGAGACGAGAATTCAACAAACCTGAAAAAACATTATGTGAAGCACATCCAGTCAGGCCAACAACACAGTTAGACACTTCCTGGCGGACCACGAATTTCAGAGGAGTGTTAAATTTCGTGTTCAACCTTTGGATTGCACATACCAGCATAGATAGAATGAAAAATACGAGGTACACGGTCGGTAGAAATCCATAATGTTTTTTCATTGACACGTACTCATGTGATGCAGTTGCTACATGCTCAGATTGTAACTGTTGTGGCTTGGCTCTCCAACACACCATGGTGCTGGACTCGTAACGAATTGTCATGTTTTGTTTACGTGACAACCCTTACGAATTGGCTGTGTCCATGGTGGTGGGTTTAACGACGCATTGATATTTACGCGATCTAACCCAAAAAAAAAACCTGTATTATGGATGATATTGTTCGCGAAAGCCTACGTGTTAAACTACATAAAAACCGATTGCTTGTTATTATCACACTGTCACAAAAATGCTCCTTCTTTGAGAAATGGCAAGTCCCGCATCGCCTGCAACACAGTGACTCTCTCGCCCGACGAACAAACCCCGCACAGCACCATCGCTTCTGCGACCGTCTGGAAAGCTCTTCCTTCTGATATTAGCAAGCCACTAAATCATCTGGATTGACAAACTCATTTCTTGAGAAATGCTTCGTCTTTTAGTTTGTTGTTCTTCCACCGCGCCTCTGATTAGCAAAGGTTGGCTACATACGGTGCGAAAGAAGTTCAACATGCGTACAAGCAGCTTTTTAGAATTGTGAGTTGAGCGCTCTAACTACAGTGCGTCCTGGCTGGTTAGGATTTAAAAATACATAACGATAATAGATTACTTTTGATTTAAAGCTTTCGTGACTGCAGTGATTCATATTCTTGGTTCTTTCGGTGAAGTCACGTTGAAGGGAAACAATAAAATAATAAAATATATATATATAACAATAAAATTCTCACGACGTTTCGACTGTAACACAAACAGTCATCATCAGGTGTGAAAACCAACGGCAAGAAACATTTAAAAGAAGTGGCGGTTTGTATTTATTTATTTTTAAACGTTAGCACCACGGATAGCGATTTGACAGTTTGTTTAGATGGACGAGTCCATCTATGTTCGGAAAAGAGGAGGGGGGAGACGAAAAATTAATGTATGCTGTCTTAAAAGCCACCATAAGCGTGAACAATCAATTAAGACCCGAAATGGTTTATCAAATCCTTCCAATGATTGCTAAGCCAGAATCCATCTTCTCGGTTGAAATTGTCTCTGTGTTTGCATATGTGGATAGCCTTTTTTTTCAATCCACAGGTCATCCTCGCAGCAGCAGCTTTTGGCTAGCCATAGAACAAAGACGGTCACTGCATTGCGCGCTTTCAGATGCGCTGTTGCGGCCGTCTGGAACGCTCTTCCTCTCGACATAAGGAAGTGCACTGGAGCTATGCACTTTTAAATCTAGATTTTAAAACTAATTTCTTTAGAACTGCTTTTTGTGCTTGGTTTGTTGTCCTTCCCCGCCTCCTCCGATGAGCACCGATGGCTAAGTACGGTGCGAAAGAAGTTCACACGCACATACATACATACGTTCATACGTGCCATCGCCCCGCACGCCCGAGAGACGTCTCGCAGCGAGTGAAGGTGACGACGGCGAGCGTTCACAAGGAAAATGTTTGCAAGCGGCGACCAAAGCGCGAACCTTGTGCCGGTTTGACATCAAACGCAGGTGGTGTCTTGTGTTGCACGCACACGACACTCAAGCGACGTGCGCGTCGGCAGAGCAAAGCGTGCGGGCCGATGCCTCAATTCCACTCATCATCGCAGCACGTTTTGTGCTTATACCCCATTGGCTAAGAAACGCAGCTTTTCTTTATAACATAAATCTGTACCACAATAGGAAGTGTACCATATATTTTGTGCTTTCAAATGCACGCAGCCATGCCGATGCTGACATTGACACGTGCGCATGTTCAAATTACCACACGTTCCCAAACTCAACAGACGGGGATATTTGGCAGCATCGGGCCGGAGTTGTTTCAGTCCCGACATCCCACCAAATATACCAACGTTGGGGCCAACGTTGAGTCAACGTTGGCATGTGGTTGGAACTCTTCGACTAACGTTGACCCCAACGGTCCGCGTGTATTGGGGGGCGTTTCAGCTGCAGCTGTTCAACACAGTGTGACCTTCACGAGGGCATCATTCTTTAACTCCTATTCTATACACATGCACTGCCTATAGAGGAGCCAGTAGCCAATCACAGCGATCTCTCACACTGCCTATAGAGGCACCGGTAGCCAATCACAGTGATCTCTCACACTGCCTATAGAGGCACCAGTAGCCAATCACAGTGATATCCCACACCGCCTATCGAGGCACCGATGGCCAATCACAGTTATATCTCACACTGCCTATAGAGGTGCCGTAGCCAATCACGGTGATATCTCATACTGCCTATAGAGGCGCCAGTGGCCAATCACAGCGATCTCTCACACTGCCGATATGGGTGCCAGTAGCCAATCATAGTGATGTCTCACACTGCCTATAGAGGCACCAGTAGACAATCACAATAACAAATTCGTGCATTTCCAGATAAAATGTGTACAATTGTAATTTATTTGCAACATTGTAAATGTGCAAATACGCAACACATTAGTCAACAGCACTGTGGCCTTGAAAGGAAACTATGTACAGTCGTAGGCAACGTATCGGGTAATGGCCAAAGCTAATGTATGTGTTGTTGCCTGGAACGTCACCTATTGTTTATTTTACTTTGAAGGATACCGTGTTATTGACGAATGTGTTGAGTTCTGTTGTTGTTATTGTCTGTGCACCACTGCCAACGCAGCAGCAGCATCACCTTAATAATTAGTATAAGTTAAATCAAAGTGCGATTATAAATTACTCTTTTCTTTTGAGTCGTTTTCATCACGGAATGCTTCACAAATGTTCGTGCCATTCCTGCGTCAGGGATACTATGCTAATCTTCTGATTATAAATTACTCTTAATAGGAAAATCGAAATATAGCTCGACAAACAACAAGCGCGTGTGTGCATAAATACCCTCACATATTTCATACTGCTAATCAGAATGCGACCTGGATCTTCATCTGGTCACATTCTAAAGCTTGTATGGTCAGTCCAAAATTACCTGGGTCGGTCCCATTTATCCGATCCAACGTCTGGACCGCATCCCAATTCTAAACCTTCCCCAGCCGCGTATCCCTCCTCGGCCGCTCGTACCCCGTCGTTACGTCTGGCAGTCGACGCACAAACAAAACGCACGAGGCAGCGAAGCTACGTCCCAACAGATAGCACGCGGAGGCGTCTGCAAGGCGGCTGACAGAGCGTCTCTTCGCGTTGTCACGTCGCTGTGGGTGGGTTT